CTACTGTTTTTTCTGTCAAATAGACAAATCGAATACTTTTTTGATATATATATATATATATATATATGTATATATAGAGAGAGAGAAAAAAAAAGAAAGGGAGAGATATACAAGATCTATATACAAAAACTGTTCATAAGCGATAGAGAAAGAAACTCGATCAACTTTGATGATGCAAAGAACGAACAAACAAACAAATAAGCAGCAAACAAAATATTTTTTAAAGAAACAAGTTGAAAAGAGATATTTAATGTCTGATTATAGAAAAGAAGAAAAAGAGGATTAAATGTCAGTTTGGATATTACTTATTTGATTTTCGAGATCCATAACCGAAATATGGAAACAGAGAAAAGCACTGGCAGGTATTTGAAAAAGATAAATCTTATTCGCTCAACAAACATGCATATGCAAAGAGAAAGGAAGGAAAAATTATGAAAAAAGATCAACAAAAAACTAGAGAGAGAGAGAGAGAGAGAGAGAGAACACTGTGACGAGAAAAAAACTATAAAAAAAACTACAATAACAACCGGGGTTCAATTGATTTTACCTATATACAAAAACAAAAGGAAAAGTCAGCTCAGTATATATGCGGGTGTCCAAACTCCGATTTAGTCCAATCTAGGATTGTCCTGGAATATTTCTATCCAATCGCGGATTGATCTAGACTAATCTCAGTTTGGACGCTTACACACACATACATATAAACAAAGATTCCTGAAAGATTGCGCGTTTATCGTATTTACACATAGTATTATACAAAAAACACTTCTATATACATTTGTTATGTGCAGCATGTATTGCCTATAGCATTAAAAACATTTTCATCATCGCCATACAAATCAATTAATACGCCTAATATTGTTGGATATTGATGTTTCAATGCCCATTCTACTAATGATATCGATTTTTTCATTTCAACATAACGCCAATTACAATTATATTTTAATAATAAGATGACAATATGACCATGATTACACTCAAGAGCTAATTCTAATGGTATTTTATTTTCAAATCCACAATGATCAACCGGATAACCACGATTTAATAAATATTCAACAATATCATATCGATTATAGAGTATTGCTGTATTCAATGCTGATTCACGGTTTATTGTTATACAATACGGATTATGGCCTAAATGTAATAATAAATCGACAATATTTCCTCTACCGTGTTCAATTGCTACATAAAGTGGTGTATGACCATTATTATCGATTAAACATTGTTCACCATGACGTAAACGATTGTGTAATATTAATATTGTTTGAATATCACCAATTCGGACAGCATGATGTAATTCATAGGCGGATGGAGCTGATGAATTAACTAGTGAAGATGATGAAGAACGATCGAGATTATCTGGTATATTTGGAGCTTTTACTAGTTGTTTTGTTTCGACATTGTTACTTATATTATTATTAGTTATTTTCACCTGTTGTTGTGAGCGAATAGCATTTGCTTGTTGATGTTGAGCATATTGCTGCTGTGTTGCTTGTGAATGATACGGTTGATAATGAGAACGTTGATTTGATGTGGCCGTGGTAGAGGCTGTTGTTTCTGTCAACATTAATAACACGAACAAAGACAACGGCTATAAACACGGATCTGGAAAAAATGAATAAAAGAAAGAACAGTTTGAAACTATCATTTCTAATGAAGAAAATGTGCTGAAAAGTATCTTATCGATCGAATTTATGATTCATATCTCAAATAGTCTTAAAGTAAACTTGAACCATTTGTATAGAAACATATGTTTAATGATCGATTGTAGACATGAAACAAAGAGAAATATTCTCTAATTCATACTGTATAAAAGAATCTTTATCGAGAATTTCTAACAACCTAATCAAATATGATGTTTTGTCATTACTAAGAATTCTAATAATATAATATTAGTTACGCCTCTTTATTTTCGGCGAAATTTAAATGAAATACAAATAATAATAAAAAAACGAGTATATAAACTTACATTTGGTTAACACGACAGTAATTCACCGATAATAAAAAAAATAATTAATATTATATAGACGATAAACCAGAGAGAATATCTAATACAAACTATAACAATATAATGATAATATAATAATAAGTACTAAACAAGCATACACATAAACATAAATGTAGCTTTCTTATATAAATACTAAAATAGAAAAAACATTCAATATTTATAAATAATTTTTATTACACGTTTGCAAGATTTGAACACAAAAACAAACGAAAGTCAGCAAGTATACGTTTCAACGACATCATTTTTTCGTCTACGAAGCGTGTATGTATGTGATCGAATGCAACAGGATAAATGCATATAATAAAAAAAAAAAAAATCAATTTCATTCTTCTTTTCTCCGTTTTTTTTTCTTCTTCTTTACTACTTACTATGCATAGACTCACTTACATAAGCTTTTCTTATGACGATATGGATGACGATGATGACAATAAGGGATTGTACCAAGTTTCTTATCCTCTCCATTACACAAGACGTTAATGGAGATAGTTACTGGTTATAAAGTTGACAACAATTTAAAAAATTATAGAGAAAAAGTTTAAAAAAAAAACAACAACTTTTAAATGAAAATTATAGACTCAATTAATATAACACATTTTGCTCGATCTTTAGTAGCAATTTTAATCCATTATTATTAGCAAAACTGAAGAATAATGAATATCCTACATTTTATCACCTTACTATATACACAATAGATAATATTAAAAAAAAAAAACACTTAAAAAAAACGAATTCAGATATAGTAAATATCTTGTGATCTTTTTTTACAATCCATTCAGAGTAAAATTGCGTATATAATTTCAACAAACATCTTTCATATTCAATGTTAAAATAGTTAACAAAGAAAATTAAGAATTCTTAAAAAGATATATATCTTACCGTTACTAATTAATTAATTAGCTAATGTTACTACTATGCACCGTTTACTTATGTATTATTCTACGTGTTTGGCTTACATGAAAGAGAATGAAGGTTGAAAGTCCACAAAAAAAAAAATGATATTAATGTACTAACACATATAAAGCGCCATTATCATCCTCGAATATTTCATATCAAGTGTATATATATCTTCTATCTCTACTACTAGCTACTGCGTCTTTCTTTTTCATTGTTTCTTTCTTTTTTTTTTGCAACTTTTATTGGCATGCAAAGTCATTGTCGAAGGTTTTTCTTCTCTCACTCTCTCTTTCTTTCTCTTAGCGATAGAGCTACTTTATAACGAACAGTGATTAGTCAAGTACACTATTTTCTTTTCAGAATAAGACTTACTATTATTATTAATAAACAGTATATACGTTTCCTATTTATTAATGGAACAATTTAAGGAGTAATTAAAAAAATAATAATCTGTCTCTAACATTGTTACCTTAATATAAAAACAAAAAGAAGATTTTTCTACTATCTCAGAACAAGTATAGAGTTTCATTATTGTTTATTATCAAAAAATTTCATTTGTTTTCACTGTTTGTATGTCTGTTCATTCACATCAGTTTCATTTTCAAGGGGTTTGATTTTTATTCAAATAGAATAAACTTCACTTTTAAAAACATATAAGAATGAGAAGAAAAACGCTTCGAGACACAATTATGAAACAATATTCTATAGTTGGACATTATCATTGTAATATATAGGTATTTTTGAACAAAACGTTTAAATAAAAAGCGAAAGAACATATCTAAACATGAGGATTATTACTCAATGGCTAATGGAAATACATTAAAGATCAAATATTCCAATTTTCTATCTGAAAAAATACTAGAGGATTACATTTCTAAATGACTCAAAAAATATCTAAAGTTAAATGGTCACAATAGTCGATATTTATGTGAGAAGAAAGAAAGTCTCACTTCTAATTCACATCCTTCGTCATTTTTCAAAAGTAGTATTTGATCTAATCTATTATCGGTAAAAGATAAAATAAAGTATACACATTCTTCACTACCATTATAATCTGTAACCCTTCTTGTGTGTACTTTCAGTACTTGAAGAGGTCTTCCAATTGCACTATATTATGGGGGAATAGTCTATAGTTTATATTCTGTTCTAGAAATCTTACTCAATTTAAAGTATTAATCATCTTACTGTGAAACTTACAATCTGTTGTGTTTACTACTACTACTATACTACTATAACCTAAATTTTTATGAGAAAGAAAAACGTGTTAAGTTTAAATAAGTTATTCTTTTTTTCTTTTTTTCATTCTAAATGTACACCGTTTCATTCAAAACGAATCAAATCATTCATCATTATTCTAATTGTAATCGAATTTACTAGATATCAAAATCAAAGACTATCATCCTTTTTTATCATTACAAATTTTGACTCATACCTCTTTTATATTTGCATTCTTTACAATATTTGAGTATAATATAAAGACCTGGTCGATTCTTTTCATAAAACGTTTAACATGTCATGGTCATAGACTAAAAATTTTCGGAGGGCAAAGAGCATAAAATGATTATAGTGGAACTGAGCTGGATACTCTATACTACAACGCAATACTGTGGTCCATCGACTTTACGTCTAATATATTAGTGACGCTGTTAGAAAAAAAAAAAACTCCAGCTATTTTATTGAAAATATTTATTTAGAAATGACATTTTGGCTGTTGAATGACATGAATCGAATGTCAGGCACTATTTCTTAATAATTATTCTTGTTCTTCTATATTTCTTCAAATGTAATTATGACAAAGAATGGATGGCATTTTTAACATGAAAAGAGAAAACCACATTTGTGACAAAAAATATCAGCTGCGCGCTTTTCTATAAGATACTCTTATACTACTATATACCATCTCACAATAAAGTAATCATATAGTCTTCTGTTTAAATCATTTAAAAAGAGAAAGAATAAGAAAAAAATATTTCATGATGGATTACTGATAAAATACGCGTTAATTGATTAAAGAACATGGTAGACGCTACATTATTATATATGTAAATAATTTAAAAACTGAAATATTATAGTACAAAAAATTAAAAATATATCTTGAAGAAGAGTTCATAGTTTGAGTAAAACACAAACTGCACATTTTTTTTTCCCTGTACTTTTGTTTTGTTGGTTACAATTAGTTGCTGTCTCATCAACTCGAATGAAATATACATATGTATAATATATTACTGATAAGTATATCTGATATGAACAGTTTTTAGTTGTTTATTGACATCCGTTAAGTAAATGATGATTTATAACAGTCATCAATGATATGTGAATATAAAAACATTAGAGATACAAACTTAAAACAATTGAGTATAGATCGTATATAAACTGATTCACAAGCTGTCTAGACCAACGAATACAGTCTCAATTTCAACCATGATTCTATCATCAACCATTAAACTTATTTTAAATCTTAAAAAACTTACTCAATGTTATAGAGGCTTAGATAATAAATCATTACTTTGCGATTACAAAATCAATGCTAAAAATAAATCGAGAGAAAATTGGTATTCTAATAATGGAAAAAAAGTTTAAAGATCAAACTAAGAAATTCTTCTACTACTCTATCAGTATTAGGTATGCACCCGTTAAAAAACCGATATTTCTAGCTTTTTTTGGACATAGATTGTATGAAGAGTATGGCATATTAAATTTTTCTCACAACTGAGTTTTTTAGAGCAAACATTTCTCTATAAAATAAGCTATGGAGAATCTTTCCAGCTTTTCTCGTTTCCTAGCAATCGTGTTTCTACGAAGAGCCCATTTATCGGTTTCGGTTAAATAACCGAAACCGATAAATGGGGCTTTTATTAAATATCTTTTTTTATAAATGCTGGATCAAGATGAACATTGTTCCTATAGTTCATTTTGTAGAGAAATGTTTGCTCTACAAAACTCAGTTGTGAGAAAAATTTAATATGCCATACTCTTCGTACAATTTAGTTTTTGCGAAAAGGGGATAAAAAACCCGGTTTTTAAGCGGTGCATGCCTAATCAATATTCATATTCGAGATAAATGTAGATTCTAAAAATCGCTTCTAACAACAGTCACTTTTATTGAATGAAAAGACACTCACGATTTTAGATCTTAAATGAATGTGTATCAGAATTGACTGTCAACAGGCTATTCTATCGATGCTATCTGCTAATCTTAATCCTATTAATTCACACTCACCGAAATTTTACATTCAACCATTGAACTGTTTATACTAGTTGGTTAAAAACTTCTTTAATATAGATATTTTATTATAACCTATTTACGAATAAGACAGATAGACATATACCTCAACATCGATTATACTATAATGCTTTTGACCCGTAAACATCTTTCGTGCTCCTACGCGTTTAAATAATGATTAGTTTTAGTTATAATAGGAACGACGATAGATGATGTATGTATATAAGGCACGTATAATACACACATGCACACATTCAGATATACATTATGAAAAACAGGCAAATTTGACATTTGTCAGAGAAAGGGAGTGAGGAGTTATCCCTTTCTTCTTTTCCCTTTACCTTATCGATTCATCTATCGGAATGATATAATTAAGTATCTGTGGGTGCATTTATAACTTTACAATATTCACGTATTAATCGCGTAATTCACATTTCAACTC